CACACACACACACCACACACACACAACACACCACACACACCACACACACACACCACACACACACACACACACACCACACACCACACACACACACACACACACACACACACACACACACACACACACACACACACACACACACACACACACACACACACACACACACACACACACACACACACACACACACACACACACACACACACACACACACACACACACACACACACAACACACACCACACACACACACACACACACACAACACACACACCACCACACACACCACACACACACAACACACCACACACACAATGTCTGGAAAAGGTCGGTCAGCGGGCGCACGTCCCGCACGAGCACAGCACCACTACAGGGCGAAACACATGCGCGCGCGCAGCACGTCAGCGTGGACACATCACAGCACACACCACATAGGCACACCAAGCGGCGCGATGCCGGAGGCCAGAGCATACGGCGATTGCACAGCAACACAAGGCCGGCGGTCCACAGGCGACGGGGTGGGCGCCGAGAGCACGGTGTGTACCGGGGGCCAGTGCTGCGACGCGTGCTCTGACACACGACACACACACACACACACACACACACACACACACACACACACACACACACACACACACACACACACACACACACACACACACACACACACACACACACACACACACACCACACACACACACACACACACACACACACACACACACACACACACACACACACACACACACACACACCACACACACACACACACACACACACACCACACACACACACACACACACACACACACACACACACACACACACACACACACACACACACACACACACACACACACACACCACACACACACACACACACACACACACACACACACACACACACACACACACACACACACACACACACACACACACACACCACACACACACACACACACACACACACACACAACACACACACACACCACACACACACACCACACACACACACACACACACACACACACACACACACCACACACACACACACACACACACACACACACACACACACACACACACACACACACACACACACACACACACACACACACACACACACACACACACACACACACACACACACACACACACACACACACACACACACACACACACACACACACACACACACACACACACACACACACACACACACACACACACACACACACACACACACACACACACGCACGCACAACACACACACCCAGACCTGAGGGTGATGAGATTAGACGAAGTCCGAGGGGGCCAGACCCTCTCTACACACACCTCTACATTTACATGAACGGTATAACGTATGCGAGTTTTGCCTTCAAGGGTGCGCACAGTCTAGCTAAGTTACTGCCTACACACAGTTGAACAGTCGCACTCCAGTGTCTCGGCGCTAACCACCCGCGATCGCGTCGCGCGCTGTGCCTAGAGCGCGCTAGTTGGAAAAATCGTCAAATGTACCCCCTATTCTGAAGGACTATAACTTTCTAATATGGCTATCGTATCAGAAAATGAAGGCAGGTTCTAAATATGCAAGACTACCAGTTTCCAAATTATGCTGAGCTTTTTTTCATGGTGATGTTCTATTACCGACTTCCTCATTAAGTGTTTCAAGTTCTCCTTCGCCGCGAATAGCTTAGCGCACAAAGTGTCGTAGTGCATAGGATTACCCATTTCTAGGCGCGACATTTGCCTTTACACGTTGACGACATTGCTCTTTTTGGCCGGCGTGTGGGACCACGCGCCTTTTCTGGCCTGGTGAATCTGTTTATCATTATGTGTGGCAGGTGTAAGGCTGCGCGATTTTGGCAATTTCTGCAACGTGATTTCAGATTATTTCAGTGTATTCTCTTGTGCTTTAGTGGCTAAAGCTAGGGCGCGAACAAGAGGATACACTCTCGGACCAACGCCTAGTATTTGTACGAAGTGAAAGCATAAAATATTCGAAACTAGGTTAAATACAATAATTACGAATTCGTTGCAGAATGATTGTTAAATTGCGACGAACTATATACAACATCACACACAGACCAGGGATGGAAGTGAACTACTCTTAACTACTTCCAGAGGTGGTGATCAAGGGCCCTTATCATGAAATAAGGATTCAGACAGCGAATTATCTCTAAATCAAACCACGATGTTCACTAGTT